CAATTTCCGAATTCCTTCCAACCAACATTTTATTCAAACCCAGTTTTTATTCCTAAATTTAACTTTATATTTTTGATCACATTGTGTGATCTAGGCAGACTAATTTATTATTCAATATTTATCGATAGTTTATAAGATCGCTCTTACTTTAAGTAGTATGATGCACCAAGCCAATCTTCAACCCATCTCCTCGTTCATTTTGTAATTCAGTTTCATATACCATCACTTCCTCGCTTTCTATTTAACTTACGTTCGAGTTGGTTTGGTCTTTGGTTTTGTAGCCGCCTAAAGCAGAATTGGAAAAAAAGCCAGTCTAGGTAGGAAGACCACGATGGTATTGCAGCATTTCATCAAACTGCTCAGTCCCGTTGGGGATGCTGATGAGACCTAGACAAGGTTGAAACTGCAATCTAACCTGGATGACAAAACCTTTTGGAAGGCAGCGCTAAGTTACATGAAATGGTATCTGAAAACCTACACATATTCCATTAAAGTGACTTTTGGGTGATTAAAGAATAAATTAGCCCGGGATTTTCGTTAAAGTTTTTACCGTCGGAGTCTCACAACTCAGCTAGAGGGGGCAATAGTAGTGAAGTGAAGTGAAGTGGAGTGAATTGGAGTGAAGTGAAGTGGAGTTGAACATGTTGGGCAAGTCGGAGACCAGGTGAACATGTTGGTGATTGTGTCCGTCGTCGTTGGGGCTTCCTTTTTTCACCACCTGACCGACCTTCATGCCTGCTTGTCTGTCTGCCTGTCCTTCTGAGGCGGACTTGGTCGGCGGAATGATGCCAATCATGGCCTGGCTTATGTAAGCTCGTCAACCCCTGTTCTGATTGTCGACAGATCTCTGTGTCAATCTGCCGATTCGCGCGCCATCGGGATATCCCAAAAATGTATTTCTGTTGTGGGTATCTGTGCGGGTATCCGCTTATAGCGCCATGAGATGGGCTTTGGGGCATATGAATGGCTCACTGTTGCTAAGACGACCCTAACCTGTGGTCAACCGCCATCAAGATATTTCGCGTAGCGGCTCACGTCCCCACCTTCCTTCTCCAACACACGTTTGGTTGGTCTTCAGCTTCAGCCTGTCCCCACAGTCCTTTGGACGTCATATTTTGCCTAAAAACGCGCACACCCAGACAGGCCTGGCGTCCGAAACCCGCCCAATCGCACCTCATCCCACGAGTCGAGGGCAAATGGAGGAGAACAGGTTGAGCAAGTCTCCTCTACCGGCCTATCGCTCGGCCAGCAAGTTTGCAAGTAGACTGCCGAAGCTGATCCACGCACCCGAGCAAACGGTCAACGGATTGCGAGCATACCGCCTCCCGCCTGTGAATGCATGCACGTATGACAAAATAGAATTTGACATGTGGGACCAGGTTAGATTACGGAAAGCCGTAAGAACAATACCCAATTGAACTTTACTAAAGCGTACACATGTAGCTTCTCCGGCATCAGCTCCAGAGGCACACATTGGTGTCTCTCCGCATTTCTGCGTGTGTGAGTGTGTGTGTGTGTGATAGCATTTTCAATCGGCTCCGAAAATGTGCTACCATCCCGAGGGTTGGCTGTTGGAGGCAGGTGTTGCCGAACACTGAAGATAACAATGGAAATGAAAGGGCCCCAGCGGACTCCGCCCCTGAGGTACCTTGTCTGTGTGTGCACGTGTGTGCGTTCGCGTGTGTGAGAGAGGGTGGGGGGAGTGGATCATTTTTCGGCCAGGCAGTTGGGCAAGGAGAGTGGCTGAATGAGGAAGAAAAGAGAACGTGCCGTGGAAAGCGGGCTAATTATCTGCTTGCCTTTACATTTTTACCAACTGGCCCAAACTCTCACCAGGACAGGTACCCTGGTGATTATAACTGTGAGAGCAGTGTTGCTAACATGGCGTGGAGAGAACAGAGCAGGGAAGACATTCCCGGCTGAGCGGACATTAGGGGACAAACTTTATTAAATTCCTTTTCAGGATGGGACGGCGAAGATCACTGGGTCATCCTCTTCTACGCGCAGGGTTATTACATGAAAAATGGAGTCGGGTCATCAAAGTATTCACTGGGTCACTGGGATAACTGTCATTCACGCTGTGGGCAACATATGATCGGCGAACACACACGCTCCTTTACTCATATGCACACATAGTCACACGTAGACACGCACACAGACACACACACACACGCATGCCTACAGGTGCCAGGTAGAGTGGAAGGAACATGCACACGTGAGTACATACAAGCGTCTACATGGTGGCATGTACATGCTAGACTCCCGGTGACCTCTCCTCGGCTCAGTGGCCGAGCCCATCCCACGGGACTCT